CTAATAATAATAAAAGTAAGAGGGATTATATAATTATATTACGATTTTAAATAATAAATGAGAGAATAGAATGAGAAGATAGTCAATCTCATAAATGACTTGAATAAAGTCTCCTAAGAATTCTTAGATAAGAGTGATGCCTATGTCCAAGATGTTCTGGAATATTATGGATTGATACATAGATTCTTGAATATGAAGGAAAACAAAGACAGAGAAAAGGAAGACAACACTATGAGAAGGTTAAACTCATACAAATAATTAGAAGGGTGTCCGTGGAGTATTTCTTTTGATCTTTTTAAATTTGAATCGAGAGATTGTGAAATACAAGGAAAGTACATAAATATCTAACTTATAATGAAAATTGAGTTGGAAACATTTTGAATCAAAAGTGTAAAAAGAATAACCCATCAAATGAGAGACATTGCCAAAAGGATTAGATTGTAAAGGTAAAATTGAATGCTTATCTTTCAAAAAGAAATAAAATTGGGTAGATCAAGTTATTATTGAAAAATGGCCTAGAGTTAATTTAGTTTAATTTAAGATTTTGGATGAAATAAAATGCTTTAGCTGATCATTCTTTTTTTAAATTTGGAGCAATAGTTACTTAGGAACAACAAAAGACTAACAGTAACAAAGTCAATTTAGAAGAAAAACTAAGTAAATGCGGAATAGCCTTGAAACATAAAATCCAAGAATTTGAAGTTCTGTTGATTGAGGAAGCACAATGAATCAGATTATATTTGATTTCTAAAAATCAAATTTATAAAATACTATTTGAAAATAATTTTATAAAGGAAAATTTCACTTTGATTAAAAAATATACTCATATTTCTTTCTAATCATTATAAGTAATCAAAGATCGAAATAATAACCTTGTTCTCTTCCGCTATTATTTGGAAAGGAACTTGCTCGAACAGAAATGTCACATGTAGAATATAAAATTTATAAATAACAAGATTAAGTAATTAAATTGTTAATTAATAAATTATTCTTACAGTCGAAAAAATGAATAAGCTATTGAACTATTTTCTGCAGCAGTTTAACTTAATTAAAATTTGAAACTAACCTAAATTTTGGCATATGAAGGTTATAATACTGGTGACAGTTCCATATTTATAGAATGAATTATATTAAAATCAAAACTCAATTATAGTGGAAAGGAGGGAAATAATAAAGTGAAAAACTGTATTTTTAGCACCTCAATTTCTTACAAATTCTTTGGGTATGGATAACTTAATTACATTATCCAAATGAATTCCCTATGCTGATAGAGTAAAAGAAAAATGAAAGGAATTCATCTGTAGCATTATAAGGTAATGATGCTTAAGAAGAGACTTAACTGGCAATAAGTTCTTTGTAGACTCAGGTGACATTTCTCATTCAACTGGAAATATGAATAATCACTTTGATCTCAGAATATAATATTTCGATACTTCAATATTTCGAGAACAAAAAACTTAAATTTGAACTTTCAATATATTCCTCAGTAAGAAAAATCCATTTTAGAGACATGTTAATCATATAATACATTTTGGTAATTTTAAAAACAATAAATAGAAAATTAAATTTTGGATGCTCAAAGAAATCTGTAGTGTAAGTATTTAAGATACTTTTTTGATTTAAAATATATAAACCTTAAATAAATCATAGATCCTTTAATGTTTTATTTTCTAAAAATTTTCAATTTACAAAGAATTGAAAAATGCTCGCTCTTCATTTGATTGCATAGTTTTATCCTCTATATATTATTTTACTTAATTGTTTTATTGAAATTGGTGGATTTTTTTTTCTCACTCGCTTTTAAGATTGAATTACAAAAATTAGCATTTTCATAATTGATACTCTTTCATATCAATATGGCTAATTGACTTACTTTTTTAATAGCCATTATTCTTCTACAATGATTGAAGAACTCAAAGGCTATTAATATTCATCTATAAAACCATAACTTGTGCTCTCTAAATCGATTTTCTACTTCTCTTATTGTTAAGGAGGACACATAATATAGAACTTTTTTTACTTTGTGCTAGAGTTTGTAAAGAAAGAGTAAGACAGAGTCATGAAACTCATAAATGTCAAATGAGTCTGATAAAAGTTGGCAAACAAAATTCTTAGCCTTTATGAAATTTCTCAATAGAAGTATGAGAATAGATTTTTAACTTGTTACTTATTTGAGAATCAATTTAGAGTTTTTGCAATCTAGATTTTTGATAGATATTTCAAGCTTGAAGCTCTCGATAATTTCATTTTAAGATAGATCCTTGGTAGACTTGTTTTTGGCTTAATTAATAATAAGAATGTAATGGAAGTCCTTTAGTTTGTCAAATAAAAAATTAAAATACTAAAACCTTAATTGATATTGTATTATTTGTATTGGATTCAATTTTAATATTAAATCCATTTTAGCTATCTAAAATACAACTTACTTTACATTGCAAATAATAATAGCATTATAAATTCTCCAAATGCTCCATATATTTCTATATTTGGTTTTAAGAAATTGGGAAGATTGGAATTTAGAAGAAACTACAGAATAGAGAAAAATATAAATTTCTTTTTGAAATATATTGAGTGTAATTATGCGAAAATACCTTTGTGATGATTATCTGAAGGTAATATTTGCTTCCTGTTATTATAATCCATATCAATATTTAATTATTAGAACTACCAGATTAATGTAGTAGTTTTATGCTTGTTTTGTTTATGATAAAGAGTAAATTGAAGTGATATTGCATTATTTTAATGCTTATATGTAAAAATAATCAATTTACTTGCTGTTGTAAGGCAGTTTAGTTTTCTAAAATCAAACCGCCTTTAAATTTGAATAATTATCTTAAATCTATTCCTTAATAGCTTATAAATTCACCTTTCAAGATTAAAGCTCCTTAAACTTCCAAAATTGGATTTTGATATATTTTTAGTATAGTATGATCATTATTAGCTAATAAATAACAAAAATAAATACCATTTTGTAGAATGGATGATCTTTAAAGTGGAAATTTAAACTAAGAAAGAAGGTCTCTGTAAAATTTATCTTGATGTAGAACTTCCTTTGCTGCTTTAATATCCCACAAACGGATAGAGTAATCATAACTACCAGATGCTAACATAGTATCATCTGGAGAGAAACAAACTGAACTAACACATCTTGAATGACCATCTAATTTGGCTATTTATTATCCTGTCTTAACATCCCATAAACAAATAGAATTATCTAAACTACCAGATGCTAATGTAGTACCATCAGAAGAGTAACAAATTGAACTAACATAACCAGAATGGCCATCTAATTTGGCTTTTTATTATCCTGTCTTCACATCCCATAAACGTATAGATTTATCTCTACTACCAGATGCTAACGTAGTACCATCAGGAGAGAAACAAACTGACATGACTTCCTAAGAATGAGCATCTAATTTGGCTTTTTATTATCCTGTCTTCACATCCCATAAACGGATAGAGTTATCATAACTACCAGATGCTAATGTAGTACCATCAGGAGAGAAAGTGACTGACATAACAAAACTTGATTGACCATCTAATTTGGCTTTTTATTATCCTGTCTTAACATCCCATAAACGGATGGACTTATCATCGCTACCAGATGCTAATGTAGTACCATCAGGAGAGAAATTGACTGATAAAATTCCTTTTGAATGACCATTCAATTTGGCTTTTTATTATCCTGTCATAACATCCCATAAACGGATCGAATTATCACAACTACCAGATGCTAATGTCGTACCATCAGGAGAGAAATTGACTGAAATAATTCCATTTGAATGACCATCTAATTTGGCTTTTTATTAACCTGTCTTAACA